AAAAAAAAAAAAAAAAAAAAAAAATCTATTAGGGTCTGCAGCTATTATAGGCTTTGTCATTAGTTATAGCATTACCATGTAATGTAATGACCAGGACACTGAGACTGTGAAAGGTTAATTGACCTTTTTATATAGGCGGATAGTACCAGAACTGATTAATTTAAATGCTGTTCATTTCTAAAGTTTGAGTTTTGATTTAGTTGATTTTAATTAATATAGTACATATTATCTTATACTATGCATATAGAGTGGTATCATATAAATACAGACTAATCAATGTGTTTTTTTGTGCACAGTGAGAGAATCAAAGAAGCTACTGACTATAATTCTGAAAACTATAGTAAAAATTAATAAAAGAGAAGGGAAAGAACTGCTATTATATTTTGATACATCATTAGAAATCACTAATGTGGTTGAAAAAATTTTTGGTGTCAGTAAATATAGGGTAAGTTTTGAACTAATTTTTAATAAAATATTTACTGGAAACAGTTTCAGACTATAAATTTCATTGCTTTTTTCTCATTCTAAAGTTCTTAAGATGACATACACATTTTAAATTCGTATGGTGGGATAACCGTCAACTTGTTAGCCATATCCTTTGAGGTGTTTTTCAGAAAGTGTTTCAAATAGCAGAATTAGTAGCTGTTTAGTACATCTGATGATTTCTGCCATGTGTTTAAACAATGAAATGAGACATGGCTGGGAATGTAGCTCAGGGGTGCCACGCCTGCCTGGCAAATGCAGGGTCCTGAGTTTGATCTCTGGTACCAAAAAGAAAGGTGCAATGAGACAAATACTGTGTTCAAGATATCAAACATTGTGAAAATTACATAAATAATAAGTACACAATTGGTCTAAGAAAAAACAGAAATTGAGTCAGATTTGAAGGTAAGGCATTATTCTGGAGGTGGGGTTGAAATAGCCTTTAAAGTTGAATAGAATTTAAATAAGATGCAGGCCAGGAAGTACAGAAGCTAGATTCTTTAACTGAGAATCTAAGGTGACGATAGATGTGATGTTTTGGTGGGAGATTTTGCTGACAAGTTTGGATTGTACAAGAGATTTATGCTGAATAATAAAAGGTTATATTTGCGAGGAACCCTCATACAGGAGCCAAAGTGGCACGCTAACGAGAGTGGTTAGTAGGAAGTAATTGAAGTGTTCCAAGAAAAGGTGTTTATTGCATGCAGGGTAATGATTTGGTATAATTTGTGGAAGAAAACAAATATGTATTTTGTAAGAAATTGTGAAAGAAAACAAGTAGGAAATATTTGTATTAAACAAGAAAATTACATCATTCTATATTAATTTTAGGAATTTTCTAGAAAACAAGGTGTTTCAGTTGCCAAAACATCTGTGCATGTATTTTATGATGCAAGTGGATCACAGGTATGTCTCTGACTTGCTCTTATCATTACACAAAGTTTAAATCTAAATAGCACAACCATAAAATTGATGTTGGAGGGTGAATGTCTATAAAACAACCAGTGTCAATGTAAATGGTATTCTAAGAAAACATATGTGATATGTTTTAAATTATGCTTAATGCAGAGAATAAAGAAGTATTGATAAATACCAATTTTAGTAACTTGAAAATTAAAACTACATGTCTTTCTACTAATGGCAAAACTTGCTTGCAAAAGTGAGTTTTTTATTGTGTCATTTCATAAAAATTACTGGATCAAAAAAGGAAAGAGTTGATACTTATAAATGTAAATTAATGGGGGCTTCTCTAGGCATTCAGTAGTTTCTGAGAACTTCTGTAGTTTGCCCTTTGTAAAATAGTTCTTTCTGCATCCTCCAACAGATTCTTGTGCCAGAAAGTCAATTCTCAAACATTGAAGAAGAACTCATTAATTTAAATGAAAAACCTAACCCCCAAGAGGAATTTGTTAACCCTCCAAAATGTATCAGTAACCAAGGGGACAGAAAAAATTATCAGACTGAGGTAAATATGATTTACAGTAAGGTAAATAGTTATTTAAATCATTGCTAAGTACAGAAAAAGCATAGAATCTATAAGTGGTCTTGATCAGTCATACTTAAGTTCATACCCTATCTTTTAAAATATAATCATCAGAAGATATTATTTTAGCAGGGGTTAGGAATTAAGACAGGGTATACTATACCTTATGCTTATACATTTCAAATTGGAGACAATAGACTAGCTACCATTTTTTTCATTTATCCTTTCTATTTTATCTTTGCTCTTCCTGTAAGGTGTAACGTAAATTTATTATGTTCTGTTTGTACGAGGAAAGAAACCAATGAATTAAGTAGTTTATCTTACTCTTTTTCTTCTTCCTCAGTTGAAAACCTTTCTAGGCCACATCCAGTAGAATCACATCTTGGCTCTCTTTTCCATTCTTTCTGGGACTTTTGACATTATGGAAAGCCCTAAGATCCTCTCTCCTTCAGCATTTTTTTTTAAGTACCCTAATGTGCTTCCTACTTCTGTTACTACATCAGAGATACTTTCTTTCTCCACTTCTTGGAGGTTTGCTCTAAGCTTTATAACCAAACCTTGTGAAAATCTCATTGCATTCTTCATTGCAAAAATTCTTTAATGTACATAATTTGAGCTTATTTTAATTTACCGTTACCTTTATCATTTTAAGTGTACCAGACTACCATTAATTTTTCTGATGATATCATGGATACCAGCCTCTTCTTTCCCCATATCTAGAACCAACAAGCGAAAGGCTCCCTTTGATAGCGTTTCTCATTTTCTTTCTTCCTTATTCCTTCTTCCATTTTTTCATCTCAGCATACCTAGGTTAATACAGAAGCTGCTGAATTGATCTTTGACACTATTGCTTCATCCTTTGAGCTACCTCTGAAAGGCTAGTGATTTTTCTGAAATATCAGTATTCTAAGAGCATTCTTTTCCTCTCAGAGCTTTATGATCAGCACTGACTTAATAAATTTTAACTTTTTCAATTTTGCTCATCCTATTTAAAACTTTAGTATGTGTAGGAAGATCATTTGCTTTGCAGTATGCTATCTTTATTCTTGCCTCTAGAATTTCATTCACATTGTTCCTTTTTTTTTTTTAACCTTTACTCATTTAAAGCATACTTATATTTGCAAGTCTCAGGTCATAGTCCTTTCTTCATGGAACGTTTTCTAATTATTTATGTTTTTACTAATCACTCACCGTTAGGCAGCTGTTAATCTCACCATATATTGGCATGTTTTTTGTTACTCAGTATTTTCTCCCTTAGTCTTATGTCTTCAAGTAAATTAAAAATATCGGATTTCATTTCCTCTTAACAATTAGATCATAAAAGCTAACTTTGTTGTTTCTAAATCAAAATCATGTTGGGTGCTTATTGAAAATGATCTTAATAAATCTCACTTTAAACCTGTCAAATCACAACCTGTGGGAAAGGCTTTAAAGAACACCGAAATTGGGAAAACATGTCATTGTTAAATGCCTACTGTGTTTTCAGTATGATTACCTGAGGCATTTCTATGAATAACTTTTCAGGTACCATTAACTATGGCACTAAGAATTGTAATTTAAGAAGAATATACTGGTTAAGAAACTTCTTTTCTCATGAATTTTAAAATTACCTTATCTTTCTAGCCTTACCACCTACCACCCCCCCACACCACTAAATTGCTATTCACAGCTTTATCATTTTTTTTCTCCTCTGACTTAAGGACAGAACCAAAACAAAACGGTTGTCCTGTGCCTCTACTGTATATAGTATGTCACTATCTACTTGTTTGTATGGCACTCTCTCAAACTACTGTACTTTGTAGTCCTTACCTTTACTTATCTACTTCTGTTACTCTTACAGATTACTCTGTGATGTTGTGGAAAATATAAATGTTTATTAGAACCAGTAGCTTTGTGCCACTGAATCTCTGAATTCCTGTGACTGCTTTACTCCAAAGCCAATTTAGTCTACATAGATTATTGAGTTTTCAAAGATGTGTGAATGTTTTCCAGAATGATTAACATTATGAAAGTAGTCAAAGAGTTTTACATAACTATATGTGCAAATATATTCATAATAATAGAACAGGAAATTGCAAGTCATTAGCTTAACTCATTATTAATAAAATAATTGATGTTTGCATTTTAAAATTACTGTATTACCTAGTCATGCCTGTAATCCCAGCACTTGTGAGCCTGAGGCAGGTAGATTGCTGCAACTTTGAGGTCAGCCTGGAATACATTGCAAGACCCTGCCTCAAAACACCAAAAATAAATAAAGTTACTGAATTATTTAAGTTTGGATATTCTATAAAAACTCTTTAAAAAAATTCTTACTTGTTTGGGATAGTTTATTCAGTGCCAAACATAAGGATAAAGCCCTTCAAATCATCCTAAAACATGGACATTTCTAGATAGTATGTTGTTTATTTGAAGAAATATATATATATCTTTTGCATACAGTCAAGGCACAATGTTCTGAGTAAAATTGCAGGATTTTTATTTTTTAAAGAGAATGTGTATTTACTTTGGTTTTTTTCTCACAGTTTAAGATAAATACTCCTAGCAAAAGAAAAATGTCTGAAGCATCAATGATTGTTCCTGGTGCAGATAGATACACTGTGAGAAGTCCAGTACTTTTAATCAACACATGTAAGTTTCATAATCTTAAATAACTTTTAACAAGTATATTTTGAAGAAGGCATTTTTTAACTGTGGTTATAGCTTACCTACAGGATAATTTAGAGATATAAAAATTGACAATATACAAAGCGCAAAAGTCTTTTTAAAGAGAAAGATGAAATGAGATTTAAATGTAAACAGTTTTGAAGATAGTAATATCCAGCATTAATAATTTAACAGGGGACAACACAACATAGAGATATTGAAATGATCAGACTGCTTGGTCTTAGTTCCTCATTCCCATTTTGCATTTTATACAATTATCTTCTAGCTAACCGAACTAATTTTTTATATATGAACTAAATATCTGTTTCATCAAGTTTAGAGGATTAAATAAAAGTCATTCAACAACAAATCTTTGTGAAACATTTAACAATTCCTCACACATAGAGTTAAATAAAAGGGAAGACTGATGGTATTCTTTAATAAAATCTTTATCTTTAATGTTTACCTTCCATTCCAAAAATCCAGTTGCCTACTGAGCAATTGTTTAATGTATGACAGGTTAAGACCAAAATTGAATACATCATCCTACCTTTTCTGATGATTTTTCTTTCTCTTTTTTTTTCTTTGTAAATGTCATCCATGTCTATTTTTTCATCTAAGCAAAAAACCTTAGATTCATCCTAAAACCTCTCTGATTTACCTTCAATATATGAAACGTATTTCAGTAGTAGAAAAGGAAAATCTAGTCATTCTATGTCATTCTTTTAGCAACTCCACGAAGACGAAGAATTAAGCCACCACTGCAAATGATGAGTTCTGCCGAAAAAGCTGATATTTCTAAAACATCAGAAAATGGAATGAATAATGCTGTACCACATAAATCTAGACCATTTGAACAAAGAAACAGAAAAGCTAACAAAGATAAAGTAACTATACTTTGAAAATATCTTAAAAATAAATTGTTTTCAAGTTACTGAACTGTTTTGCAAGCAGTTAAGTTTACAAAACTGTATTTGTTTACAAAATCATATTTTTTCCAGATTTCATTAATTGTCCTTGAAAGTAGGCTCCTGCTGGCATATGATTTGTTCACTGTAATAACAATAAAATGTATGAACATCCATCATTAAAACTCCAGTTTCAACATTTGGTAGGAGAATAGACTTTACCATCACTTTTTAATTACACAATTAAGTATCTCCTATGAGGAAAAGTCTGGGAAACACAGAATTGTGAGATTCAAATGCACTTTGTCTTTTAAGTATCTCAAAATCTAGTATGGGATTAGATAAGGTAATTACACCATTCTGTGAACATTCTCAGATGTGTATATAGCATGCAGTAATAACCTAAGAAAGAGGCAGGTGCCTGACCTTATAGCTGGAGGGGAAGAGGAAGATTAAGAAAGGCCTTTTAAGGAGATATGGAGGGTGAATTAATTTTTGAAGGATCAATAAAGGCTAGTCAAATAGATCTTGAGGGGAAAGGTATTCATTGTAGGTAATTGAAGGAACAGAAAAGAGAATGAATAAGAAAAAGATGGTGAATTTCTCATGTGGATCCATTAAAAAAAGGAGTAGGGACATGTAATGAGAAGTAAAGGAGAAGCCTAAGAATAATTACAAATGTTAGACAATGTTGAAGTTTTCTTTAAATTTAAGACTGAATTTTATCACATTAGTTCATAAGTTGTGCAGTTTTCTCAAGGAATACGCTTGGTATAAAAATTCAGAAAGCAAATGCTGCTGGCCTTTAAAAAATTTAAAAGGATATATTGAAGAAGATAAAGTTGACAAAATGAAGTTATTAGAAAAAATAGTTCTCATTGTTGTCTGCATGAGCGTTTCTTAATAAATGCACTATTTTTAGTTGTATGGCATGGTCCTGAATATTGCAAAATGATGAGCATCGTAGCTAGTACTGTGCTTATTGTCGAAAGAACCATTCTGTCATTGTGACAGCAAAAAAGCACACTGGCATATTTCTGTAACGCTCCTTTCCCAGGGTACAGAACCAGATAAATTAAGTAGGAAAGACAGTTAAAATGAGGTAAAATATTTTGGGCCAATCAGTTTATTTTCTGATAGTGATAGCATATTTTTATTTGATCTAGGTTAAGTGTGAATCTGTGGCTGTGGAAAGAGAAGCTTCCTGTGGGCAAGAGGTTACTTGGGCAATGAACAAACATTTAAAATCAATTTAATACTTTATAATTTCCAACTCTTCTGTGTACTTTACTTAAAAAGAAAGAGATACAGGCTATGAAAGTAATAAATGCTGTTCCCTGGAAGTTTTAGAAATGGCCAGTAACAGATGAACATTGAGTTATTTATATTGGTCTAGCTATGGATATGATTAAGAAATTTGAAGATCTTTTTCCTCCTATTTCAGGATAGGCAATATTCTAGAAAGGGCATGGTGCTTATGAAATACAAATACTATCTAATTTTCATAGCAAGGAAAACTTACTTTTTTCAAACATTAAAAACTTTTAGAAGTTATTTTCATATAATGCCTTAATTAAAATTCATATTAATGTTTCCTGTGTTCTATAGCATATCAAAACTGCTAAAGTTGTAGAGAAGACACAAAATAAAGACATTGGATTCCTGAACCAAAATTTAAGTATGTACATTTTGGGTTTAGTCACTTTAAAATGTATCCATAGAATACTTCTCTCTATTCTACCCTTCAGCCCCTCCACTTTCACTGATTTGAAAATAAACATTTTATAATGAATATGTTTGGCTTTGTGCAGGGAACTTTTGAAGTTATAACGAAACATGATATAATCTCTTCCCATTAAATTTGGGTGGAAAGTGCTCACTTTGGCAGCACATATACTAAATTTGGGTGGAAAGAGGCGGGATCAATCAATCTCTTCATCCCAATATGTGAATTTTTATAGAATTCTACACTAACCTCCATTAGTACTCTTACTCTTGTCTTCTTCATGAAAAACTGAAAATGCTATGATTTTTGTTTTATTTAGATGAACTACAGGATTCTACTCCTGATATAAAAGCAGAGGGAGAACTAGATCGGCCTGGGTAAGTATAAGAAAATATATCAAATTATTTAGCAAATACTATGATTAGATGGATATAACAAATTTGAATGTGGTATTAGTTATAGCATTAATCCTTTCTGATGTATTATTGTGACTAACCTATGGGAAATAATCTATCGTTTTTTTTCCATATTAACCAAATCTTTTCCAGTTGAGAGACTTTAAATGAATGAAACTTAAATTAATGAAGTATTATTGTGAAAACTTTAAATTCACAGTAGAATACATAAAACAGGTAAGGTGTATATAGGTAGACATAAACATAGTGACCATAATGGTACATTTTCTTGTATTTTTAATCTAATAAGTCATTATAAATTTTAATTTTAGTTATGACTCAAAAATATTGCCATAGTTTACTGTTTTACAGGTTTTTTTCAATAATGATTGACTTAAAAATCTAGCTTTTAAGCTGTTAGTATATTTTTAATATAATAGAATTAATTTATTTTCTAGATTTCCTTGTGTTTTAGACAATAACTGTGAAAATAAAATGCACTCCAAATGGGCTTGTTGGACACCTGTGTCAACTATTAAACTGTGTAATAACCAAAGAACCAGTACTTCATCAGGAGACACATTTAATCAAGGTGCAACATATTTTTGTCTGTATGCAATAATATTTCAGGGAAATAATTTTCTCAAGTGTCTAGCAAATGTTTTTGGTTTTTATCAGCTTTAGATATTACACATCATTATTATCTAATAATAATTAGATGATATTATATTATTCATTTATAAGAGTTAATTTCTCATTCTCCCCCTAGGTATTGGTATCAGTAAAAAACATACTAAACAAAAATCATCCTCTTCGATATCAGATTATGATTCCGAAGAAACAGGAAAGGGAAAATATAAGAAAGAAATAATGGAGCAGAGCAAAATAGATAAAGCAGAAGTTTGCAAAAAAAACAGTCAACAACAAAATCATCCTAACTATTCAGTTCAGAAAAAGACTGAAAATACCAAGCAGAGTGATTGGCATGTTGAATCTGAAACTACTTTTAAATCAGTTCTCCTAAATAAAACAGTTGAAGAATCTCTGATCTATAGGAAGAAATACATATTGTCAAAAGATCTGAAAAGCCCTTCTCCTAGAAAAAATATGAGAAGTCAAAGAAAATCCGAGAAAGAAGTGACTTCTGAGCTGGAGTCCTCAGAGTCCTCAGATTTGAAACAAAAAATGGTGAGCTGTTAGTGTTTTTATTTCTGCCTATTTATAGCATGCCTACTAGATTACAAAGTGAAAGAAGCCGATTACTGCAGATTTGGCATGTTTAATGCCTCGTTCTTCAATTCAGGACCTAGATGCTGAGAGTAAATTAGTCCTTAAAGTTGTCCTTCACCTCTCTGCAATCCCAGCTGATAGTGTTGTCCTTGGCATATGTCAGGCGTGTAAATGTGTATAGAATAAGCGAACCGAGCAGTTTCTCTTTTGTGATGTGGTGATCTTCCTCCCATTCTTTTCTTTTGTACAAGCATAGTGAACTGTTTCTGTTTCTCATAGTTCTCATCTTCCTTTTTTATAAATGGGTTTTTTATGTGTTTTTCCTCTGTGACCGTAACCCCCTTATAGGGCAAAGGCTATTTTTTATTCAACGTTTGTTTTCCTGCATGTCCTAGCTCAGCTTTACATATAATAGCATGCCAGACATTTCTTAGGTGATTCATTAAACCTTGACAAGGTTTTACAGGAAATGATGGTAAATGACTGACTTGTGTAGCTTGCTCATCCTTATTGGAGACAAAACTTTCTTCTTGAGATTGATCATCTAATCTCTCCAAGACAGTTTTAACTACTGTGCATCATATTTGCACCAAATAAAACTCTAGGTTTTATAAAAGCCATCCTTTTTGTTTTATAAATCATTTTCCTGTTTTCAGAAGTTGTCTTCATTCCCTAATAGAGTTACATCTTGTATCATTGTACGGTGTTTCCTGCCAATCCCGTGGACAGCCTAGAAGAGACATTCAGGTCTCTCGGTGCTTCCAGGGGGAAAAAGCAAAGGAATGACTAGCTTAGTAAAATTCTGTGAAATGATTCTAACCCTCCTACACCACCAAAAAAAGTTTAAAATTTAAGGATGATCTGTGTTCAAAGAAGAACCTTGCTTTCCCTGAGACTGAGGGAAATAAATAGCAGCTGAGAGTTGAAAAAGAATAGAATAGCAAATAAGATATTAAGAAAAACAGGATCTAAAAGGATATGACTGTAAAAGAAAACAGCAAAATTAGTCATAAAAGTGAGTTGTAGGTTAAAAAATTTTAAAGATTATCATGATAAATGAAGTCTAGTTATATGCAGTAATTGTGAATTATGTATTAAATATCATTTGTACATTCAGACACTCTCGAGGTATGAACATTTATACTGATTTTAGAAATTTGGTTGATAGGAATTAATAGTATTTCTCAAGATAGATAAAAGCCTATAAAACCTACAGTATTTTAGAAATAACAAAAAAGTAGATTGTATTATTGGCAATAGAAATGTATTCTTATTAAAATTTATTGGAATGAGGGAGGGAAACAATCTGCCTCTTTATATGAATAGCCAAAATAGTTTTTATAAAAACTAAAATTTTATTTGGTGCAACTATGATGCACAGTAGTTAAAAATGTCTTGGAGAGATTAAATGATCAATCTCAAGAAGAAAGATTAAATTTCTTTAGTACATAGAGGCATATTCAGATGATCATTTTCTTGTATAAGTTTTGATAAATTACATTTTTCAAAGATTTGGTACATTTAATCTAGGTTGTCAAATTTGTGGAGATGGAGTTCATAATATTCCTTTATTCTTTTAAAGAACACACAATCTTTCATTATTGATAATAGTAATTTTTCTTTCTCTGTCTTAGTTAACATTGCTATCGAGGTTTAGTAATTTAATTGGTATTTTCAAAGAACTGGCTGTTTTTCCTTTATTCTTATATCTATTAACATGACATGTAGTATTCTAAGGACTACTCTGTACAATTCTATATGTTAAGACTATTTTGAATGGCTTAATGCTTTACAACACCCAAACTTTTAAAATAATTTCTGATTCCTTTTTTTTTTCCTTCCTTTTATAATTGGTATATGTTTTCAATACATATAGGTATATTCACCATGGGGAGTTGGTACATACACCTATTGCATATTGATTTCTTTTTATTTTCCCCTTCTCCCTAGAACACATTTTATTTCTAAATATTATTCTCACCTTTATTTTCTTTTGGAAGTTAACTGGTGGAGTTATAAAGTAACTTCTAAATTGTTTCAGAGAGAAAAGTCAAAAGGGAAGGGATTTACTGATGCAGCAGAATCCTTGATAAACCAGATTAATGAGAGATACAAACCAAAAGATGACATAAAGCCTTTAAGAAAATTGAAGGAGCCTTCAATTGACAGGTATTTTAATAAATTTTATACAAATATTTTTCAGACAAATGCAACTAAATTATTTTACATGGCTTCAAAAAAGTTTCAAGTATATATTCACATAATGTAATTTTCCAGGAGAAATTTCCTGGTTCTTTATTACTTTTATGAAGAGTAACTGTTTATGTAGAAAGGAAATAAATTTGAAATTTATTTTATAAAAAGTATCAGAAATACTACATTAATATTGTATAGCATTTCAGAAATAAATTTTAGACATTTTAGAATTGTATTTATGGAATCAACAAGTAAAACTAATACACTTAAATATATTGCTTAATGGAAAATGATATTTAAATGAGCTGAAAGGACTTATTTTTATGTAATAAGTAAAATATTCCTTATTTGAAATTTCTGAAAGTTAATTCTTTTATTATAAAACATCTACTCATTGACCATCATGTTGTTAATTCAAGATTAAATTAGCACTTACCTTAATATAATAGTATGATAAAATGATTTTCATGACAGAACCATTCATTTTAAATTTTTTGCTACTTCCTTCCTGCTACATTAATAACCCAATTTAGAATTAAGTATTATAGTTGCTGTTTACTGTGAGCAAAACTACAAAAATATCACAATAAGGCTGTCATATTTGGCTATTTATACAATGTTGGATATAGGTTTAGTGATTCAAATACATTTTTTTCCATACAAAAATGCCTTTTGTGAAAAATACTCTACTGATATTTAATGGCCCTTTAAAAAGTGTCAAAATCTTTTTTGTAGTGGTATTTCAAACAAGTCTGACCTACAGTTCAGTAAGGTAGGTGTCAATTATTTAACTACCAAACTCATAATTAAATTTGATGGTATTTGACTATAAATACTAAAATAGTAATAAGATATAAAATAGTAGAATATATCATATTTAAGGTTTTCAGACTTGCTAAATGGATATGACAACTGACATGTTTAGTGGCAGATACTTAAACAAGTTCCATAATTTTCTGCTGTTTTTCAAAGAAAATGCTTCTTTTATATAAGTCCACTAGTTTTATTTTCTTTGTACATTATTCATTATATTCTTATCGCTATGTTTTCTGATAGTTAATCCCAGATGTCTTGACAGTTACATCTTTCTGGAGTCCTAGTGTTGTTAGAAACAATTATCATTCATCAAAGCTTGAAATAAAAATTATCTTTATTAAAATTACTTTGTGTCCACTTAATTTACCAAGTTTTGAGTTTAACCCTCAGCAACTTCCTCTTGAATCTCTTTTCTGGTGAGGCCAAATCCTGTTATTTATTTTCAGTTCTAACTTCTATTTCCTAGATTGTTACATCAGTCTTCATGTAATTCTTTTTACCTATATTTATGTCTCTGTGACAGGCCATTGACTATATTTAACACGTTTGTTTTATTTGTAAAGCACACAGCTTCAGTCATGTCTTTTCCTTGTTCAGAAACCATCTTTTATCCCTGCTGTTGCATGAATTAAGTGGAGCCATAGAATGTCTCAGTAGTCCTTTAAAAGATTGTGTTATTTTTTAATATTTGGTTTCTAGACAAATTTTCTTTGACAGAAGTAGGATAATTTGAGTTTCTCTTAGTGTCTTCCCTCAGAATTCATTTATTATCTTTTTTGGAAGAACATTCAAACTGAAGGCTCTTTCACCTTTGTTCTGATTACCAATATTCTTCATTACAAATCTTGCTTGGCATCTGTCTTCTTCATGAAATTCTTTCAATGTGCCCTTACTTTTTTTTTTTAAAAAAAGGCAAGAATTCTGAAACTGTAATTTGTGCATTTTTAAAATATGCATTACTGCAAGCTCTTTTACTTTCATGTCCTTTACTACAGTATAAATGTTTGGAAGTTTCTTTGTATCTTTATTTGGATTTTTAAAAAATTACAATTATTAGCACATTAACTGTCCAAGATAATGGTTTTTATTGTGACATTTTCATTCGTGAATATAACCGTGCTTTACCTCATACCCACTTTGCCTTTTCTTTTATACCTCTCTCCTCTATCCCTGACCCCTATCCCAAATAGTTCCCCTTTTACTTTCATGTCAGATTGATTGGACTAGAAATCATCATGCTAAGCAAAATAAGCCAGACTTAGACAAGTATGTAACGTTTTCTTTGTATCTTCATTAGCACATTTACTCACCTTTATATCCTCTAATACTTATAATTGTGTATTTTGTTTAATGTCATTTTTGTACTTCCTGTAACACCTAATATATACTGGCATACAAAGAAGGAACATCTATCTCTGAATACTTTGAAAAATAATATTGCAAAGGGTGTCTCAGCCACTTTCATTGCTGAGGCACAGTCCCTGGTACCCACAAATTAAAAGAGGAAAGGTTTACCTTGGCCCACATTTTAGTCCATAGTTGGCTGACCCTAAGGTACAAGGGCATGGCAGAGGAATAGCTGCCCACCTCATAACATCCAGGAAAAAGAGAAGAGAGAAGTTAGGGAGGGGAGATAGGCCTTTCTAGGCCATGATCCACCCCTTCCATCCAGACCCCACCTCCCAACAGCAGGTCAGCTATAAGCTCTGTGATCCAGTCACTTTCCAAAAGTTCCACCTATGCACACATGAGGCTGTTGGAGACATCTAAATATAAACTATAACAGTAAGATAGGTAAGTGATCAGAGGGTTACTGTAGTGGGGGATGTGTGTTTTAGAACAGTATAAATAACTTTATATAAAATCGCCAACATTTCAAATTGATGATGAATCATAAGATGAGTATTTTAGGTTTGAATGTTTTTAACTTACTGTATATTCATCTTCTGTTTATTTTTGACCAATAATATAGTGATGTTAATTATTTATCTAATCATAGTTAATATATTTAATAAAACAAACTAATAGTAATTATTAAATCTTAATTTATTTTTTACCTGATCTGGTTGAATACATTTTGAGTTGCAGTCTATATGAATAATGTTGTCAATAGTTTCCACTAAAAATACTGTTTGATACTTTTCTCTTTCACATGAATTTTACATAAACCCTAACCTTTCTCAAAGTTTTCTATTTGAGTGTAAAGCAAACAAGAGTCTGAAACAAAATAGAAACATGTTTATTTTCTGATTCTAGACTTACTAAAATGTGACTTATAGAATACTATTGAGATGATCATTTATATGCATCAGCAAATTTTGAAGATTCAAGGATTTTATATTAGATTTATCATATTTTCTATTTTAGTTAGTACATGTATTTAAGTCTTCAATATTTTTTATAGTGTGGATGCTTGATATTTTTATTGTATATATTCAAAGGACATAAAACATGATTTTACATAAGGAAATGGTTACTACAGTCAAGTAAATTAGCATATCCAGTGTTTCTCATAGCTACCCTTTCTGTGTGTCCTCTAAAAACACTTAAAATCTGCTGTATTTTTATTAACCATATTACTCATGTTCTCTACTAAATGTGTAGGCTAAATTTATTCATTCTACATATGTCATTTTTTATCCTATGACCAACCTCTCCCCCATTCTCCTTCCTCTTGCTCTACTGTTGTAATCACCATTCAACTCTCTATGAACGCAATATTTTATTAGTGTGCTTGTGAGATCATGCAGTATTTTTCTTTTTTACATCAGGCTTATTTCAGTAGCATAATGTTGTGGAGGTTGATCCTTATAGTGAGAAATGGCAGGATCTATTTCTGTTTTTTAGGTTGAATACTCTTCCCTTGTGTATGTCACCATTTCCTTATTTGTCAACACTTTTATGTCTTGTATATTGTGAATAATGCTGCAATGAATACAGGAGTGCATACATCTTTGTAAAGTGATTTTATTCTTTTGAGTGTATTTTTTATTCAGTTAACATTAAGGAAATGTTAAAAATGCCAGCCATATGTTAGCAGATGTACAATTGGAAGGTTATGAAAATTTAATTGCACATGTGACTTGTTTATACAGACAATATCCAGGTTTAAATGCTAGCATGTAAACCTTTTGTATTTAGGGAAAAATTCAGAAAAACAGTTACAGAAAACTGAAGACTACTTTGGTTAATGTTACTTCTGAATTCCCATTGTAAGTAGTTTTCATAAGTTGTTTAATTTTATATTTGAAGAAAATATATTTATTGTACAATACAATTAATATTTATCTTCATTTTCACAGGAACGATGTTTATAATTTTAATTTGAATGGAGCTGATGAGCCTATTATAAAACTTGGAGTAAGCTAAAAATCAATAACTATTTTGTATGTAGTTATTCATTAAGTATTTTAGCTTTACTGTACAGTTATGAGTATTTTTATGCATATCTTATAGACACACTTCAAAATTTTTACAATATGTAATAGTTTATGTGGGTAACCAGCCCAAGTATATCTGGGTTTTACTGTTGTTTTATTTTTTTGTTTGTTTGTTTTATTTATTTATTTTTTTGGTACTGGGGATCGAACTCCAGTCCTTGCCACTTGTGAAGCAGGCACCGGAACCACTGAGCTAGATCCCTGGCCTAAATTTGGAATTTTCGTTTTCACATTTCTTAATCTAGTATCCAAAGTCTAGTGTTCTTTTATTTTTTATTTATTTAATTTTTTTGGCACTGGGAATCAAACTTGGGTCCTTGTGCTTGCGAGGCAGGCCCCAGAACCACTGAGCTAAATCCCAGGCCCTGTTTTATTTTTAATCTTTTAGAATAATAGAGAAAAGTGAAAATCTGGAAGATGGGAAATACTTAGACTTAGTCAATATAATTTAATTCCCTATGGATGTAGCAGGTTTGAAACACTCATTTGTTGTACTTTTATGATATTTTATTAGTTTTCATCTTAAGGAAAAATATAGTAACTGTTGCTGAATTGTATCATTCTGTGGTGTAATAGAAACTAGGTTTTATGTTTATATCTTTAATTTTTAACTTCTTTTGACATAAGAACTTTAAAAAAAATTTATCTACTGTATAGATCCAAGAATTTCAAGAAACTGCTAAAGAAGCTTGCATGGATAATTCAGTGAAACTGTACGTGTTTTATCGTAATTAGTTAGGTTAAAATATAGCTCCATATAAGTAATATTTCCCCACTTTATCTTTCTAGGAATTATTAACATACAAATGAATAAAAATAATACTGTAGTAACTACTCCCATTGTGATTGTTACTTCAGCATCCACTTTAAAAATTGATTTGCAAATATTAGTTATATATTTTATGTTATACAGCTAAAAAAGATTTAGTAGGCTTTTAATAGCCTCAGTATTTTATAACTGAGTCAGGGAGAATAAGTGACCTCACCAGAATTACATATAGAGTATAACTAATTAGTTTGTTAAGGCTGAAAATGCTGATCGATCTAACTGTCTAGTGCACGGTGTCTTAATAGATATTTTAAAATTAATACATATTTTTACTTAAGGGTTGACTTAAGGAATCATGATGAACTTGAACCTCCTTTAAAAACAAAAGATGAAAGAGTAAGTTATAATACACTAACATGTTCTATTAAAACATTTCTATTAATTTTTTTAATGCTAAAGATTATCAAAGAACTAGAAAATAAAAATACTTGGATTTTAAATTTCTATAAGATTATCCATGTTGTCATTATGACTTTTAACATGGTCTTTGAGCTGTTTGTAATAATCTAGTAATAAAAATATTACAACTTTATAAGGTTATAGCTCTATGGAGATAAACTGCTTTTAATTTTCACTAGCAACACCAAAAAAAAAAATTGTTACCCTAATCTGTACTTTTTTTTTTTTTTT